GGTAAACTGTACCTCTTGCTACTTGGTACCACAGCTCTCAGTTTGGTATGTATCGACTTTACTGTCTGTCTTTCAATATACCCGGTTTGACCGCATATTATTTTTGTGGTGTCGATGAGCAATTGCTAGTTCGGACTTCAAGAAGATTGAATCCTGTAAATCATTTGTAGTGTCAAGATAATGAGGATGTTGCAAAAAAGATGGAAAAGAACTGTCATTGATGGTGAATCTTCTTGAATCTTGGACGACTCCCATGTCACAGTTATCATACCAGAACTAGAAGAGATGGTGCATATTTAGTAGTGACCCATTTCGATCAAAATTCCATAGTGTCTAAAAATTGCGAAGCACGTTGCTCAATCCTATCTTGCAACCACTAGGCGCATGTTTATGACCATTTCAATGGGGCCTTTTCAGGTGACCACGCCATTGCTGTTCAAGCTGATTCCTGCTGTTGTACATCTTGGAGTGCTATTGGGCTGGTTCACCCCCGACAGTCCCAGCGAGGTAAATCCCAAGCACCTGATTATTCTCTCTTTTTCCTTATATATTTATATTGACCGGTGCGAACCGTGCAATTTAAAAGAACTTTCGGCAAATTTTTGCTGGAGCAAGTGCTTCGAGGTTATATTGAATATGGTTTCTGCTCCCAGATTGGATATAAAGGAGATAGCCTTCGTGCAGAAAGTGCTAAGCGTATTACCTTCATGGTCCAAGGCTCTCATGATTCATGATATTAAATAAATCACAAACCCACAGAAATGCAAATTTCCCGCCTTTTCCTGATGGGCTTCTTATACTCTGGGGGGACAGGTGCCTAAGACCGCAAAGGAGGTCGACTGAGCATGCAGTTTCTTCCTTTTGTGATGAAGCTCTTCTTGTGTTTGCCTACTTCCGGTACATATTTTCTGATCAGAAATCAGAGCAAACAGCACGCCAACCGTAAGCCAAGTAAAAAAAAAAAAAATGGGGGAGTGTATATGATTCACACGCGAAAATATACTGCTAATTTTGGATCAAGGTCGTCATTTTTAGTCTCTTTGGTGGCCTCTAGTGTAACATATTGTCCATGGAAATGTAGGTAGAAAATTCATATTCTCTTTCCTTTCATTTTAGCAAGTTGATTGATTCATTTTTTTCCCTCTTCAAAATTTTGAACTTCTCGGCGTGTTACTTTGGATACGAACTAACAAAGATCTGATGTAGCGTTCTAACTAGTGTATCATATTCACGTTTTCCTTCATTATCGTTTGTGCTTCCTCTAGTTTCGCTATATATATATTTCTTTTGCCTTTCATTAAATTTTGGCATTTTCCGTCGCCTCCTCTAGTCGCAATATGTATTTTTTAGCCCGTCTAATGTAGCAGACGTTGCGTTTGAAAGGCTTTTTTCAAGGAAGAGGATGATTTCTAAGAATACAAGTGAGCCGAAGAGATACACAATTACATGTACTTGAACCTTCTTAGGAATCATTAGCACGTGAAGCAGTTCAAATCGTTATGGGCCAGCCAGATGGTCGCCCCCATATAAGTTGTTGCAAAATCCATTTGTAATCAATGCTTTGGATAGGTAGCTCTCTCAGGTTGGTCAAAGGCCTTGGAAAGCAAACGAGAGTGGTTCAGGGGTCGTATTCTTTCTAAAGTGACTATTAAATGCATCATGTGGTCGACGATTTGCTTTGTCTGGGCACACGGCAGTGCAAGAGTATTGGGGGACGGAGATTAGACTCCTAACGATTCAGATGACTAGGAATAAGTCTCGAAAAAGAAAGAGCGCTAAGAAAGGCAAAATCATACTGAAATGTGGGAGGATAAGATCAAGGTGAATGATTAGATCTTCCATAGTTTCGGAAGGAGAAAATGATACAAATGGTCTTCAAAATTTTGATTTAATATGCAAGGGGTTCCTGAATTTTATCTTCATATTCAATATGATTCATGAACTTTTAAATGTAATGTGGTCTCTAAACTTTTGGTACTTGTTCAATTTAGACCTTGGATTATATGAAGATGTCCAATGTTGTTCCCGATCTTGAATCAATGAAAGGACATCGTTGAACATTTTCATATATTTCAAGGATTAAATTGAATATGTATCAAAAGTTAAGGGATCACGTTGAACAAATTAAAAGTTCAGGAACTACATTTTAGTTATGGTAAAATTTAGGATTACATTGAACAAATTAAAAATTCAGAGATCACGTTGTATATTAGATCAAAATATAAAAATTATTTATGTCAAAATCTTTTTTTTTGGAAGGGAACAGAGTCGGATCCTTCACGATATTCTTTCTGAAACATCCAAATCAATGCACAATTGACATTTCTGAGATTCTTGCTTGGCTTGTTGAAAGGTCTCCCCCTTCCATTGGAAAAGTGATTCTCAATGCTGCAAAATCTCACTCATGCATGTGTGGGGACATCCTCACCCAAGAAAGATTTTTGGCACCAAAGAAAAGACTACTCGAAGCTCTTGATCAGTATCTAATTGGTGGCGATTCAAGGTCAAGTCAATGTCGCATTAAATTCTCTGCCAGAGATATTTGGTACTCGATTTCGAATCGATTATGAAACGTTGGCCCATTTTGTTCGACTTTGCGAAATGCTTTTGGCAAAATGCTAAAATGATTTTTTGAAATGTAGGCAGTAGTGTTTGGTAAGTGTATTTTAAAATCACATTTGAAAGTAATTTTGGCCTAAATATCATTTGGTAAAAATTATATTTTGTAAGGGACTTTTGCTGATATTTTAAAAAAAGAAAAGCTTGAGGTGGAGCTCAGCCATCGGCCACCGCTGCCGGCCAAATCTAATTGCCGGCCAACCGCCGACGGCCAGCCTTGCCTGACCTCAGGCGAGGCGACCTGAGGTCGCTTGACCTCAAGCGTCGCCTGGGTCGCGCGACCTCGACGACCACCGCCTGGGGTCGCGCGACCTCAGGTGGCGGTCGCCGGCCACCAGACCTGCTGCTTGGGGAAGATGACCAATGCTATGAACAATATGATGAACAGTAAACTTGCATTCCGAAAAATGCAACTTGCCAAAGTACCTCCGGACCTGTCTTGAGCTAAAGGCCTTTAGAGTCCTTTGGCAATGCAATCACATTTCCTCAAAGTGCTCCAAAAAAATTGCCAAACACATTTGCATTTGCCCAAGGAATTTTAGAGCCCAAATGCTCATTTCAAATACTGAACCAAACGGGGCCGTTATGCAGCACGTGCATTTTACATTTGGCTAATTAGATTCAAATAACACCACCATCAAGATTAACATTTTCATCGGGTTACGCTCCAATTTATTATCCGAATCAAGGCCCCTTTTTTTTTTTCCGGATATCTACTCTGTTACACCCCCTCTCTTCGCAAAGTCCAATGTGCCAATGCCGCCTTTATTTCAATCCATGTCGTGATCGCGCGAAAGATAAACTTGTCCATGTTGCCTTATATCTCCCCCGTTAGTGATTGCTACGGGATCTTAAAACTCCCGAGACTCTCACGAGACGTGTTGATATTTAGTCTCGCCGACATGCTTTTACAATCATAGAGGTCCAAAAACGAGATGGATTTACTCCATTATTGAACATAGAATGCCAGCAAGGACTCGATAAAGTGGTTTCCTTCTGACTCAAGTTTGTGGATAAGCTGCATTTCCTCCTTATCTTTCTAGCGACGGCCGACGTTTCGAGATGTGTCACTTTTCTAGTCACACAAAAATTCTTGTTGCTTCGTATACCAAAATTGAAATTGTCTCCTCATAACTATCGGATTGGCAACCCCATTTACATAAATTAACGAGTTCGCTCTGGTCGGATTCTCGAACGTTTTATTTTGTTGGGTTTGTGCGATTCGATTTGCGATATTTCTCCTTTGCATAGCGTACTCACCCACAATTTAGTTATCGGCTCCAAAATCTCCACGTACTCCAACAAATCGATTGTCGTATACACGCACGACTCATCGGTTTACATCGTATCGAAGAACAACATCGCAACAAGAAAGACAGCAAATAATCTTAATCAATCTGAGCATGTTAATGGCCGGTCATCAGGAACAGAAAAAGCTTTCTCGACGAAGGGTTGCTCGTGGATTCATTCATCGTTCTGGTTACAGCAAAAGGACAATCGATGTCGATTTGCGAGGAGTAAAGATCGAAGTGGTCCGAGCTTTTTTATATCTCGAGGACAACTGAATTTTCTTTTTGTCCCTTTTGTTGTCCTCCTGCATGTATTATAGTACGTATTATGTGAAATTTATTGTGGTCGTGTCGAACGCACGTATGTGCCCTTTCTTGAAAAAGTGCACTGGCCCTTTCATTAATGCTTCAGTTTTTGGATTGGACAGCAAGCGAAAATGGCAACGGCAAAGGATCTAATAATTGCTCTCCCCGAAAAAGGATCTTCTTGGGGGACTCGTGTGAGTCAGAGATGACAGAGCATGGATTGCTGTTCCTCCTCTCAGAGCCACTTAAATTTTGAAAAACCCAAATTTTAACTCGTGACCGGACAATCGCCTTACATGCACACGATTCAAGTGAAATCTTATTTGAACATACTGATCCAGATAAAGCTCCGTTTGTATATAAAAACGATGTCTTATGTCGTTTGAAATAATTGATCAATAAAGAAATTTTCATTATCGATAATAAATTATGTCTAAAATACTTTGTAGGTAATAAATAAATTTTCTTTTTATTTATTTGTTGGATGATATAATCGATCATTTTTAAGATCATGTTTTCCAACTAGTTCATTTTTCGCGATACAAATAAAGCTTAAATATTATGGATTATTCAAATGTGTACGTGTTATTAACCCATATTAACCCATGTAAACAAGATTTTACCTAGGTTATAAGCGTATTTTCTTGTCGCCGACTAGCACCAATAGCAAACTTGATAACTAACCATTAATGATTTCGACAACGAATGTGGTTATGTTCACGAGGAATATCTCATTCTTATCATCGTTTCTAATGCCATTAATTCCTAAAACTTATATGTAGAAAATGATCGAAGAAGCTCTGGTTAAGGTGTGAACTTCAAAAACTCATGTCTTGGACAGTCATAGACGCTAGAGTTGATCAAAATCCACTTTCACAGACAACGTGCTGATCACCCTTTAGATCTCTGCTTATCCACTAATAACATCCTCTATCAGTATGAAAAGGGAAAAAGAAAACAGAAGTATCAGTAACATGAGAAGCATTTGCACTTTTGATCTTCTTGATCCATTGAGACTTGAGAGAGAGAGAGAGAGAGAGAGAGAGAGAGAGAGAGAGAGAGAGAGAGATAAGAGAAACCACATGCATACATGTTGCTTGATCAGGTCACACGAATGGTTCCAATGAAAAGAGAGGAAGGTGAGGTTTCATTCTGGTCTAATGGCATTGGAACAGCCAGTGTGAGCTCTAGGTCAGGTGCTGTATGAGACTTCGGTGGTTTCATTACTGGGTTTAACGGTGATGATGGTTTCAGGTCCAAGGGATTGGCCAAATCATAAAACGAAACAGGTCTTGAAATTGAATCGTGTGGCTCATGATCATCACTCTCTTCATCGCCAGGCCTGAAGGAGCTCATTGCAAGAGGAGGCATCACTTCACATCGAAGCGAGCTCTTCGTTCTGATCAAGCGTGGTCGTTCGTTTTGCTCGTTAGAAATAGAACCGCTTCCGATCTGCCACATCACAAGCGAACGAGTTATTCGTCATTCTTTAAATCATGAGACTTTTGAAAAGGAACCGAATTTTTTTTTGCCAAGTTCCGTGCCCAATTAATGTACGGATATGTGCCGTGGTTATCGAAAACTGACCATGTCGAAGAGGCTGGACCGTCGCTTCTTCTTATTAAGACTAGCCTGTCGGAGGAAGTACTTCTGGGCGTGGCTCGCAACTTGGGTTGGGGTTCTCGTGGTCACATAGTTCCTAGAGATGCCTCTCCAATCGCCTTTCCCCATCTTCTCTAGCCCTATTAAGAATGTCCGATGCTCTTCTTCCGTCCACGGGACTCCTAATAGTTTAATAATCCGATAACACATTAATACTCATACTCTCATCATAAAAAGAACTTAAGATACAATCGGCAGAAAATGAAATTAATAAATCATACACAAGTTGAACTGTTGAGGTACTAATAAAGAGATTAATATACTATTTGTGGTCAACATATACAATCTTAAAATAACTGAGGTTTCGAACTCTCACCTGTTCTATTCTCTTGGGATCTAGCGGCGAGGCCATTAGAGAGATAACCGGGGGAGGTCTTATCGCAGCGTTCATCGGCAAGAACTCTAGGTGAGGATAGAGTTGAAGATGGAGACGACGACGCGGCCGAGGAAGAAGACAGACAATCCATGCTGAGGCTCTTTCTTATGGCGAGCGAATAAGGATAGGCAGAACTACAAGATGCTGCTGATGATGAAGGGGAAGAATAAGGAGATGGGTCGAGCTGAACGCCAAAGAGCTTGAGCCCACAAGCACTTGCTGCCCCCATGAAAGTCGTGCAAGTCCTTGAGTTATGGCCTATGTTCCCACAGCGCGAGCACTTCCTTCCCATCTTTTGTCCAGACAGAGAAGACCAGAAATGTCAGAGAGAGAGAGAGAGAGCGAGAGAGAGATGAGTGATGGGGTTTGGTGGGTGGATGGTGGAGAGGTATATAGGATGAGGAGGGAGGGTGGGGTTTCCAAGAAATGGGATGCACTCCAGGAGGGGATGATTGGATGGACATTGTTTATTTTTGGTTGGATATTTCCACTCAAGTTTTGTCAAAAAAGATGGGAATAAGTAGACATCTCACTCATTTCTCAAGTCTTTCTCATCTTATCATAGTCTCATTTCTTTATGGGGTATCTTTCTAATGATAGTATCTTCCTCTTGCTCTTATTTTTGGGGGAAGTTGTAGTTTGAAAAAATGAGTCAGACCGAGCGGGATTAGTAGGTGACTAATCCGATTTCCAATAAGGTCTTTTCTCGGCCATTCGAACTTGATTTAAATCTGCACCATCTCAGGATCCGGTTCGATCTTCAATATGATTCCGAAAAACACTATTGAGCATGTCTTAAAAGTATATTTGCATATCTAACACCAATAAAAGCTTGAAATAATTGATTTGTTTACTTCGTTGGAAAACTGATTGATTTATTCGTCACATCGACTGTGTTGGTAACTATACTTAAATAATTTTTGGCTTAGTATAGGTCACTCTGTTTCTGGGAATGGCTTCATGTCCTAAGATAAAATCTTAATATTAGGTAACCAAGCCTAATTCTGTCGAATTACGAAATTTGTCTATTTATTGTAGTTAGATAATTGCTTGGCAAGAAGCCTCTAGAGCTGGCTCCAAAAGAATCACCTCTCGACTGCACTCCTAGAAATCCATTGTCATTTCTAAGAAAGTGTTAAAATGATGGATATTTATCTCCTTTGAACTCGATTAAATGTTGTAAATTCCCGATATTAGAATTTAAGGCTGGAAAGAGTCATTGATTGAGGACCCATTTTGCAGTATGTATGCCACAGGCAAATCTGGTTTTCCCAAGTAAATTAGCTATTTAGAACATCAGATTATTATAAATAAAACCCATTGAGAACATCAAGCGAATGCGCTCGAAAATTGTTGCATGGACATTGATTTTGTAGGTGAATCAGGAAAACATATATTAGTGTCTCAAAGACAGTTCATATTTCTTGTTTTTCCATTATGAAGATAAACAAATAGTAGGGAGAAAGTCAAAATGAATCGTCTCCCAATCGTTTGGAATGAGTTGTTGGCCTTGGATGACTTGCGAAAAAGGGGCAATGAAAAAGACCCCCACAAAATGAAACATCCAAAGTCCAACGTTGATCAACCAATTCCTACCCTTTCCTCGGAAATTAGGATCATCGTACAAATAATTATGTTATTTATTTGTCATTGTATTGGATCAAACCCAGAAGTACAAGCAAGAAAAGGAAGAATACTCAGAGAGACTTCCCCCACATATATTTTTTCAACATCCAAGGTAGTTGTACCTGTACCTATGTTATTTAAGTTTTTGGATGAAAGCCCCTAGTTAAATCATAAGTGTGACCCGATGAGATTCAATGAATCTTGCCCAAAGAATCGTTCAAAATTCTCATACTCAAAATTGACCTAAGGATTATTAGATAATAAGCAGCAATAGTCACAAGTGGGCACAAGATAATGAAAGAAAAAACAATATTTAAAGGATATGATCATTCGATCCATATCCTTTTGTAAATTGATTGGACTTCAAGTTAGGGAGGGTGGGTTCCGGAGTGGATAAGTTTTAAACCGAGAATTGGGAAAACCTGCCCTGGCAGAGTCGGCTTCCGGGAGAATCGGCCTACCTTAAAGTAATTTAACTATGGTTTCAAGAAAACGTGCCATGGGAATAATTTATGGTATATTGGTTAATGATTCAAGGGATTTCCTAATGTTCCAAGTTCCAAACCCATTTCCAACATATCTATCTTCAAAAAGCTAAATAGCGGTCCTCGGTTAATGAGAACTATATCGATTAAGACCAGTTTTCTAAATTTTTACGAAACTACCTGGACCTTGTGTGTATCGATTTAGAACGGACCGGGTAAGACCAGTTTTGTTCGGTTATCAGATTGAACCAGCTCGATTGTTGGCCTCTATTTGTACATTGATTTAGGACGGAATGGATAATGTGCCTTGAATGACAAATTATTATTTCATGTCCTTCACCTTTTCTGTTCTCCTTTTTCTTCCTAATTCATATCTGAAATTTGCTTCCCTCCTAAGTATGAGGTAAAGCTACTTGGTCTGAGGTTTCGTGCGTACCTCGGCATCCTTTGGACGTAAAACAATAAAAGGGTATTCCCTCCTCCTGGAGAGACAAAGATATAAGGGTATTGGGAAGACTAGGGCGTGCGGATACAGTACGTTAAAATAAGGAATGCAGTTTGGTAACCCGCTTCATTAGAGGACAGGCATTGGGTTTTTTTTCCAGAGAATTGGTTCTTAATATTCTCAGTTTGTCATTGTGTTGAGTTTTTCATGGCAATTCATACAACACAGTTCAAATTCTCCATGGACGGATTTTCTCATACGTCTTGCCTCCTCTAAGCATTACACACCTCGCATCAACCATTCTCTCTTTTTCTATTCCTTTATCACTTGATGCATTCCACATCATTCAAAATCCATAGTTAGTGTTGCCTGAGCAGTGACATTAGCAAAAGATACTCTTTCATGTCAATCCAAATTGGAAACCTTATGGTAAAAAAATAATATTAACTAATGTGTTGTGCATAAATGAGGATTCTTTTCCCCATAGATAGCAAGCAAAGAGGATAAAAACAAAGTGGCCCTTGAAATGTTACTAAGTTGATTAGAGAACCCGCAGAAAAATAACGAGAGAAAAGAAGGAAGAGAGAAGAAAAAGAGAGGAGAAGAAGAGAGAAAGAAAGAGATTGTAAAATCCAAGAAAGGGGCTCTTGGTTTCTGTGTGTAACAGAAACCCTACACCCATCACAATATATTTATATTAAATATGAATTGTATATGACCATAATGCCCTTATATATGTAAAAAGGAATAAAACCTAGAAAATAAAAAATAATTCTACTCTAACACTCCCCCTCAAGCTGGAGCATATAGGTCACCCATACCCGACTTGGAACAACCAACAACAAAGGCGGACGAAACAACGCTTTAGTGAACATATCACAACCGATCTCTAGAGGCAACGTAAGGAGTGGCAACCAATTGCCACAACTACGGCATCACGAACAAAGTGACAGGTTAACTTCTATATGCTTAGTTCGCTCTTGAAAAACGGGATTTCTAGCAATATAAATAGCTACCTGATTATCACACATCATATCAATAGGATGATTAATAGAAAATCCAAGCTCCTGGAGAAGAGATTTCAACCACAGCAATTCAACCACAGTTTGTGCCATAGCACGATATTGAGCCTCCGCACTAGATCCGGCAATGGTAGTCTGTTTTTGCTTCTCCAAGTAACCAAATTACCACCAAGAAAGGTGCAATACCCAGGTTGTAGACCGCCGATCACACTTTGACCCAGCCCAATCAGCATCAGAATAGCCAACTAAGGTGGAACCATTCGGTTTATACCATCAGTCCCTTACTAGGAGAGCCTTTAAGATATCGAAGAATGCGACAAACAACATCTCAATGAGCCTTCTTGGGTGATTCCATAAATTGACTCACCACACTAACAGCAAAAGAAATATCGGGACGTGTAGCAGTAAGATAAATTAGTTTCCCAACTAGAAGCCGATACCGATGTTTATCTTCAGTATCATCTCCATCATCAACTCCAAACTTTTGATTTGGATCCATAGGAGTATCAGCTGGCTTGGAAGCTAGTGTACCGATCTCGGATAAAAGATCAAGAACATACTTTCGTTGAGACAAATTAATACCTTTCCTACTTCGTAAAACTTCAATACCTAGAAAATACCTAAGAGCTCCCAAGTCTTTAATCCGAAATTCTTTGTTGAAGAAAAGATTTAACCTCGAAATTCCGGTCGCATCACTACAGAGACAATTATATCATCCACATAAACAACAAGAATGACCACTCCCGACTCCTTCTTGCGAACAAAAACAGAATGATCGAATAACATTGGTGAAAACCACACTTGGAAATCACTAAACTGAATTTCTCAAACCATGCTCTAGGAGATTGTTTCAACCCATAAATGGCTTTATGTAGCCGGCATACTTTACTGTGATCCTCCCCCTGGGCAACATACCGAGGAGGTTGCTCCATATATACTTCTTCAGACAAATCACCATTAAGAAAAGCATTCTTGACATCCAATTGATATAATGGCCAATCAAAATTCACAGCAAGAGAAATAATAACACGAACAGAATTGAGACGTGCCACGGGAGAAAAAGTCTCAAAATAATCCACTCCATAAGTTTGAGTAAAATCTTTAGCAACAAGCCGAGCTTTGAGACGCTCAACTGAGCCATCCGAGTTATACTTGATAGTGTACACCCAACGACACTTCAACACATCTTTCCCAAGAGGAAGATCAACCAAAGACCACGTTTGGCGGGACACCAAAGCTTCCATTTCTACATCCATAGCTCTCTTCCACTCGAGATGAGACAAGGCCTCAGTGGTAGAAGTAGGAATTGTGTGAGTATGTAATGATAGAGCAAAGTCATGTAATGGAGGAGGAAGATGTGAAAGAGACACATAACGCTCGATAGGGTAAGCAAAAGAGGATTTTTGTGTACAAGAACGAGTACCTTTGCGAAGGGCAATCGGAAGATTGTCCGGACCAGGAGACAAGGAGGAAGATTGAATAGAGGGCACGGAAGAGCTGGAGATTGGTGGTGCCGTAGACTGCTTTCGCCGCTGATATACCTGCAAGGGAGGAGGTACGGAAGGACTAACGGAATCTAAGGGAATAAGTTGTGGAATAGGAGGATCAGCTACAATGTTAGTTGAAAACTCTTTACCCTCAGTACAATAGTATGGTGTGCCCTCAAAAAAAGTAATTTCAGCACTGACATATTGAGTACAAGTCATAGGATCATAACACCGATATCCCTTTTGAGTACGTGAATACCCGAGAAAAACACATTTAGTAGCACGAGGGGATAGTTTATCGCACCAGGTCGTAGATTATGGACAAAGAGACACACCCAAAGACACGCGGGGTAAGAGGAAATAACGGCTTGTCAGGAAATACAATACTGATTGGTGACTGTTGTTGCTTGAGGACAGTGGAAGGCATACGATTTATGAGGTCACAAGCAGTAAGGACAGCATCACTCCAAAATGATTTTGGGACATGCATATGTAACAAGAGTGAACGAGCAACTTCTAGAAGGTGACGGTTCTTTCTCTCGGCCACACCATTCTGCTGAGGGGTATAAGTACAACTTGTTTGATGTATAATGCCAAGACTAGAACAAAACAAAGAAATTGATTTTTGTGAGTATTCTAGAGCATTATCTGTTAGCAAAATTTTAAGGGATGTATTAAACTGATTAGTAACCTCACGATGAAATAATTGAAAAACATGTAAAAATTCAAAACGATCATGAAGCATATAGAGCCATGTTAGACGAGAATAATCATCCACAAAAGTAACAAAATACTTAAAACCATTTCTATTAGCAACACGGGAAGGTCCCCAGATGTCGAATGAACAAGTTCTAATAAAGTAGATGCACGAGAATCACTACGACTAGGAAAAGAACTACGATGATGTTTCCCAAGTTCACAAGCCTCACACTCAAGAATAGAAATTGATTTACACTCGGGAATTATTTGCTGTAACTTAAATAAAGATAAATGCCATAAACGGAATGCCATAATAGGGGGTAATAGGATTAGCGGCTAGACCATTGGCGTCGCAGATGGAGACACCATCCGGATAATAGAGTCCATCATGTTCATGCCCTCCACCAATCTTCTTCTTTGTCCGAAGGTTCGAAAAATGCAATAGGAGGGGTAAAATGTGAGAACAACCAAGATTTTTAGTTAATGACTAACGGATAACAAATTCAAAGGAAGTTGGGGAACATGTAAAACGGAGGACAAGGATAAGGAGGATGTAAGTGAAACACCTGATCCAACCACTTGAGTAGAGGAACCATTAGCTAGAATAACTTCAGGTGAAGGACTAGAGTTATGGTGGGAAGAAAATAATTCTTGCTTACCCGTCATATGACTAGAAGCTCCCGAGTCAATGACCCAAGAGGTGCCAGGAGACAAAGTAGAGAAAAAGGCCATGTTACCTGTACGTGCAAGAGTGGCAGTGGATGAGAAATTGGAAGCCTCCAGTTGTTGGACACGCTTGATGAGTTGTGCGACCATATCATCCCGAGACGCGAACTCAAAAGAACTACCCCCACTTGGGATAGATGGATTCGTGTCGCCGTAAGACACATTTCCAGCACTCCCTTGGACATAGCAAGCATTTGCAGTAACTAATCACTGAGCCCACTCAAGCTTGCCATGCTTGGCCCAACATGTGTCAACAATATGACTAGATTTGCCGCAGTATATACACTGACGGCTATCTCGATCAGAATTTTGTCCGCTACGTCCACCACCACGACCGCGACCTCCCCCTAAACCACGACCTCTATTAGAAAATCCACCATGACCACGAACACCACTACTAGACACAAATGCTAAATTATCTTTAGATGATGTAGAAGACGGGGGGACAATGCGCTGAATCCGACAAAATGCTTCATTCATAGAAGGAACTCTCTCTCCAAAGAAGAAGTGAATCTTCATAGGTAAGTGTAAGTCGGCATTCAAGCTGATAAAAACTTGGCCACTGAAATTCAGCTCGTTGTGTCTTTAGTGTCTCAAGATCGGTAGTGATGGGTGATAAAGATTAAGTTCTTCCCACATGCCTTTCAAAGCACTATAATACTCTCCAAGAGACTTGTCCCCCTGCTTAAAATTAAAGATCTACTCATAGAGCTCATAGACTCTAGACATGTTTTTGTCTTGTGAGTAACTCTCCATAAGATCATCCCACACTCCCTTGGCAGTTGTGTGGAACATGACATTAGCAACAATGGATGGTTCCATGCTATTCCATAACCACACCAAAAGTGTATCATTCTCTCTCATCCAGTCACTATAGTCTTTAGAGTTTTCAGCAGGGGGTTCTGTAGTAAGATAATTAAGTTTCCTTTTGGCATTAATATAAACCTTCACAGCTTGAGCCCATAGCAAGTAATTAGAGGATCCATTCAATTTAATGGTGGTAATCTGAACATTGACACTGTCCGTAGAAGACTTAGTGCCATTCATGGTGAAAATCTTAATATAAATATATCTACCACCGATCAAAAAGGCCGAAACTTCAGTGCAAGAAATAAAACAGCAATACCAACGTATAATCAGATGCGATTGGCTCCATCAATCAAACAAAGGGATGCTGAAATCTTATAAATATAGGCCTGATCCTTGAATCTGCGATCGGAAGTGTTGTAATCCATTGTCACAAACGGAACGATAAATCGATTTCTCCGATCTTATATGTATCGGGACTTGAAGAGAAAATAGGTAAAAATTGCAGCTTTAGGTGGCTACGCACCAGAGAAGGAATAGAGTTATTAGGGGACTCTCAAACCAGCAATAGGACCAGGGAATTAGGTAGTCAAACCATGCTCCGATACCATGTTACTAAGCGATTAGAGAACCCGAAAAATAACGAGAGAAAAGAAGGAAGAGAGAAGAAAAAAGATTGTAAAATCCAAGAAAGGGGCTCTTGGTTTCTGTGTGTAACAGAAACTCTACGCCCATCATGATATATTTATATTAAATATGAATTGTATATGACCATAATGCCCTTATATATGTAAAAAGGAATAAAACCTAGAAAATAAAAAATAATTCTACTCTAACAAAACATATGTAGATGGAGACAGTGACATAATTTGGTGGAGCATACATTTTATTTTTAACCCGGCTACCTTTTTTCTTTTGCCACGGTGCTTTAATTTTTGGAAAAAAATCACAAAAGACTCTAAATTATGTCCACTGTAACACATTTACCCTGAACTTTTTTTGTAACATTAAAAACCCGAAACTATGACCATTGTGACGCATTTACCCTCAACTTTTTTCTGTGACATAAAAAACCCCAAACTTGTACCCATATAACACATTTACCCACCGTTAAGGTTCCGTTAGATAATTTTTTAGTATTTCACTTAAGTTACGTGGGCGCCATGTTAACATTGTTTGCTTTCTGGCGTCCATATAAGCTTAATTATAATGATTCTCATTGACAGAATTTTGAAGGAGGATAAATGTGTTACACATGTACAAGTTTGGAATTTTTAGTGTCATAGAAAAAAGTTGAGAGGAAATGTGTAACAATGATCATAGTTTAGGGTTTTTGGTGGCTTTTGCCCTTTTATAATTATATATAAACGGCCAACTTGTGTCCTTTTATATTCCTTTTCAAGAGTAAGTACCTCATGATCTACCCATTTGTGAGTTGGGAGGTGAATGATGTGGAGAATTTGGATTTTCTTGTTCAGATTGGTCTTGTTGGTAAACAGGCCTGGAAATACTAGATCTATTGTCAGGACTTCTAATATTGGCAACTACAGGATTGTTAACTTGGTTGATAACTGTTTTTATATATAACTTGGATTGTATATATTACAAACGTAGACGTCTATATGTGTGTGTGTGTGTGAGAGAGAGCATGGATGCCAAGTGGAAGGATAGTTTCATTTCCCAACTGTTTTTGAACTACAAATGATTTGAGACTTGCTTTTCACATTGAAATATTTGGCACTGTTTATCCATGGAACCTTCTATCCACCTACATTTTGGAAAACACAACCATCACAATAAAATAAGATAAATTAAAGAAAGCGGACTTTTCTCAAGAGTTATTTCTCACCAAGAAATACATAATTTATGTGAGTAAAATCATAGGTAAAGATATTAGTAAAAGACATTACTATTCTCAATTCATTTTTTTGCTATTTTACATTATTTTCTATTAAAAAAGAAAACATTTTCATGGGAGCACCCTATCAGAACTATGCAAGCACAGTTTAGCATTGACCAATCACATTCCAATAGGGTCCAGCCTCCAATCAACAATGATAAATGTTCATTAGGCAGTTTTTTTTTTTTTGCTAGAATGTTCATTAGGTAGTTGACTCTCTCTTTCTCTGTATTACCTGCTTGTATCCCCAACTTAAAAAAGTCTATGCTGAAACAAGAAATTAAGAATTGAGTGAGGTAGCAATTTCAACTACTGATATCTTAATCAATGCTTACTATACAGCAGCAGAAATGCGCATACACGGGACGACATCGTGGATACATGTTGTCGTGTGTACGCTAGAAATTGACATCTGAACGATTAAGCAAAATCCCTTTAAATTAAAATATTAAGTCGTTAGATAAGGACAAGAAATTATTACTATATGAACCCATTACGAACATATAGTATGGTGCATTTGTGGCCTTTTCAGGCAATGCTTCCTCTACTTAATTGCAGACACAAGGTCGCCATCTCACTGAATATAACGTTGGACAGGTACAATAATTGTCGCTCAAAACCATATGCTGTCCGTTGCATCACGACTTTCTTCCGCAACAGCAGATAAAGGAACAAAGGGGAGAATAAAGGACAAGCGAGAGGAAACAGAGAGGAGATATAAAGAACGAGAAAAGTGGGAACGTAAAGATTGCTCGAGGACTTAAAAAAATTCAATCTTTTTAAGCTTCTGTCGAATCATAACGCCAGCAACTCTTCGCAATCAGGCCGGCGCAACCTTGTTGACAAGCTCCAGTGGGCGACAACATAAGAACCGAGCATGTTAATGACAAAAGACTGCTCGATATTTGGTTCAGAGCGTTCGGCATTTTTGTTTCGGCTAGCGAAGGAAAACCAAATGTGAGGGAAAAAAAAAACTAGCCTTTTCAAGGCATGTCATAGTTGAGGTCGACACATAATAGACAATAACTAGAATAATAGCAAAACATCTGGATGCTGCAGTAAAATATATCAGAATTAACTGGTATCGTATCATCACAATAGATATCGTTATCTTAGCATGTCGAGTACAGGACAGTTTCTAGCATCATTCCTGGAAATCACAGGTCACGCCATAAATTTAGAAAGAACAGAGAGTATAGAGAGGAGAGAGTAAAATGTAAAATAATAGGCGACAATTTTTAAGAGACGAGTGCGAAAATGAAGTTGTCGTACGAGTTCAAGTGCATTTGCCCATGATAATTCCAGCTAATTCCTCTTTGGCAGGAACTTCATCTCCTCCTTCGCAGACTGAATGCATGTAGGAGTTGAGTAGATGAGAGAAAGAATGTAACACTCAATGTTGAAGATATAAGAATGATGTAAATACAAGCAAGAAATCATCATTCTACAATATGAAAGCAGAGACCCATTATTTATTGACATCCACATTTCAAAGAAATACAATGATTAGCTGATGGGCTAATAGCTTTCTCAAGGATACACTATTTAGGTGATAGACCCTAGTTGATTATAGCGCAGACAACAAAAGATAAAAAAAGAGACCAAGGGGTTTAACTTTTACGTTTGAAGTGGGGATGAAGTTCCTAGCAATACCCCTTAAGATCGCAGTTACCGCAAACACATAGACACGAATAACCAGATTATGTACTGAAGTGAGAAGGCTAGAAGTTCTCTATTTATATCAGAACCGTCCTGCAAGAGTAACGATAGAGAGGGGGATGTCAGCAGTTTATTCGACTCAAACCATAGCAAGAAAAATGATTCAAGCGATTTCTTGCGTAACCAATCAAACCACAAGAGTATTAGCTATTATCGTCATCAAATTTCATTGAAAATCTAGACATTTCCCGCTCTTTTCATCTACTTAAAGGCCAAACATGATCAAGAGGGTTTATTCTTAAAGACAGACCGATACCCAAAATGTGACGACAACAACCAAAAAAGAAGAGGTTTTGTTCTCCAATAAGGTGACAATTCCATAACATACATAAACATAAGCTGTTACTCCATGAAGTAGTGAAAGAAAGAGCAGCTTCTGGCTGTGCATTCAGAATAAACAGTAGAACCAATGATCAAGAACCACACATATTAATCAAACTGAATCCACAGTGTTTCTTTTCAACTGTGGTAAATTGATACCACAGATGAAAAACACCGGAATTTAGTTATAATTGCAATCCAACATCATGATATTGAAAAGGAAAAAGAAGAACTCTTCGAATATGAATCACCTACAAAGTTAAAGAAACTTACTCTCGAGTCCTATTACATGATTCACCCAATGCTGTGGCTTCAGTTCAAGCCAAGATCGAGGGTTCTCTTGCCCCTCATGGCAACTGGTACACAACAATGCTTCATGAATAATCTCTATGAAGCTGCACAAATTGGTTTCAAACAAGTTTAATGAGCTATATGCAAGAGTCAAGCGACTGTGTACAATACAATTGCCTCAGTCCACAAGATAAGCTGCGTGTAGGAAACAAGGATTTGATAAAAATAAGGCAAATAATCGGGTAACATCTATTATTTGGCTGCATTGAATCTCCACTGATGATTCCACAATTTCAGAAGCTAGACAAAGATACAAATAACAAAACAGTAGCATGACTCTACAACTAAATCAGCAAAAAGAAATTAACAAAGAACATCAAAATGTACAGTGACTTATGTCTAGATTGAAGACATTTACCCAAAAATTACTGTAGCAAAGCTAATCAGCCATTCCAGTGCCTGAACTTGCATATTCCCCGGCGATTTTCAGAAAAACAATCACGAATGGACTGCACCATAGACCGTACAGAAGAAACTTGTGCCAATACTTCATGTTGTTCCTGCAGAGTAGATATAACCCCACTATGAGCATTTCAAGTTCACTTTAATATAAGCCAATATACTTCACGGTGATGAGTACCACTTCAGCAAGACGTTCCTCGAAACCCCCAGAACTGGCATCTGATGGCATGAATATCCTCTGGTAAGCTGTCCTTAGGCTCCTCATCTAGATCAATCAATCATGAATCAGAAATCCACATTGAAGTGTTTATGGACGACGGACGTTGCATTGCAGTAGAAAGACCACGTAGACAGATCAGTATGTCATTCAGGCAACAAGTATGACACAGTATTCCCTTCGATCAGGTATCTAAACTTTTACCAATTGTTGTGCTCCAAAAGATGCACTTGAGCTAATTATAGATCTCGCTCTCCACTTAAAACGAGTTTGCATGTTTGCGTAACACCAGCCTCTTTATTCGTGACTTTTTCTAAGTTCATTTTACATGGTCTCTTTCCACACGATTCCTTTTCATAAAGTAACATCACATGCCACTGCTTCTTTCTTACATGATCTCTTTTGACACAAAAATTTCTAGGTACAAACAGAATAAGTCAGAATAGTAAATGAACGATATCATCGCTAGACCATAAATCATTCTTTCACCCATTAAATCTAGGACCTTTAGAAGATGAAAATAAAACCGAGTTTCATACCAACCTCTTTGGTCGTGAATCCATGTCGCCGAAGACCCTCGAGATTTAAACCTCGAAGTTCAGCTCTTTCTCCAGTCACCATCATGTATTTGGGTACATCTTGTGAAATCTATTGACAAACAGAAGCAAATTTGGATGATAAGGTTTATACAGCATAATATACAAGTGTACTGACTTAAGCAACGTATCAAAGATACGAACCAGTTCATAGTTCTATTCTCTTGTTTTGAGGGCAATGCCATATGAAGCATTTTATGACTAAAAAAAAGCAAAACAAACTGCTCGAGAACTTGATGATTTCGGGAAAATGACATACCGCAGAACCACCACCAATGAAAGCAAACGAGCCAACATGGCAGAACTGATGAATTACTATGGCGCCTGCAGTATGAACATGATCCTACATTTGCAACGCTTCAATAACTTCAGGATGGATGTTGCGGTCAAGAGATAATATAGATTATGAGGACAAGTTACTCATATTTTGTGAAAAGAAAAGCTTGTAACTTACTTCTACAACTACATGGCCTGCCAGAAGAGTGTTATTTGCAAAGATGTTATTGTTCCCAATTTTACAGTCATGTGCAATGTGACAAGACCCCATGACGAGATTGTTATTGCCAATTACCTGGTCAAAATGCAAGTAAGGGTTAAAATACAGGGTAAGCATCTAAGGCTCCATATTTTGCAATGCATGTTATTAGCAAGAGTACTACAGTTCTATCACTTGATTTTGAAGATCGGTGGATGGAGGCATATTCTCTGATCTCATTGTTGTCCCCGATGTGAAGGAAACATTCATCCCCTGTCTAAAGCCACACACAAAGAAGGATAATTTCGAGCAATTAGACAAATGATTTTATGAAATCCAGCATTGATGTTCACATTTGGACCATGGTAGCGGAAACATTGGCTTCCACTACTAACAACTAACAAGATGTCGATGAAGCCAAGAAAGAAAAAAAGAAAAAGCTTCTTTAAGTCTTACAAGTCAAGCTAGTGTTTCGAGCTTGGATGCCAACAAGTCAATCTTAAGACAGTTACTTCAATCAGATGCCAAATGTGAAACCAAGGCATGCAAAACAATAAGCATTGTTCATACTGACAGAAAACAATAACATGGAATTAGCATGTCCAGATCAAATGTTTATTCCTGTGCAATTTTCAGTTGGGCGCTCTGTTCCATTTACTCTTGTGGAGAGAAACTATACCAAACCAGGTTCATCCATAAACTAGATCTCTATTCTATTTACTGCCGCAGGACAGAGATCAAAGGAAATGAAAACCTGGAAATGGCTTGCTTGCTTAAAGTTTGAACCTAGAAGTGGCTCTTTGATGCCAAAGAAACTGGGACAATAGTCAACAGCCTAAAATTATAAGTGTACAGCAAAAATAACGGGATTGGATACAATTACGGAAGACTATTAGTAGAACTACCAGGGCACAACATTGATCTACTACCTAATAGATGCCGTGTGACACACGAGTCTTATGATTATGACATGATATGGCCAATACGCTATCTATCACATGAATAACTGCAATTACCTTGTACTTCAAATCTTGGCATTTCACACCAACCACAGCATGATAACCAATTGTGTTATTGCACCCAATCACTGTTTGCCCCGGAATATCATCGCCAACCACAGCACCACTGCCTGACACAATTCAGTATCTTTATGTAACTAGGAGAGGGCCTTACACATAACTCACACATGAGCTACCAACCTATGTAAAGTTAGAACTCACGTCAGGAGCACACAATGCTCGCCCAAGACGGTGTTGCCGGAAACATGGCTTCCTGGGTATAACCGACAATGATTGCCGAGCTTAGCTGAAGCCCCCACGGTGCAAAAAGGACCGATCGAAGCACCCTGAAATATCATGACATGGATATGATCAAAACGAGAACTACCCTCTCCAGGAACAGGGGTTATATAAAGACAAGACTTGCTCAAACAAATTAGCCACACAGAGTGACATGTGCCCGACAAATCGTTCCATACAATTTCAACCCAGAAGCCAACTCCTATAGAAGAAATATCCTCTTCCTTTTTTTTCCCTCCCCAAGCTAATACCCATCAAGATGGTCACACGATACGAGCCAAAAGGGCACGTTCTTGAGAAGCATTAACTACCTGACCAATAACGGCGTTTGGGTGGACGACCGCAGCTGGGTGAATGGAGCATGGATCTGTCTCGAGTGTAGGTTCTGCCATTTTGTGCTCTGAAACCGAAACACCTGCATAATATAAACGAAGCATCCACAAATATGAGAAGCTATTCGAATTAAAGAGCTCGCACGTACAAAGCAGAAGCGAGGAACGAGACAGATACTCGAGAGAGTTCTGGAGAAGCGATGGAGGGACGAAACAGTCTTGCGCACCCTGAGGAGCGGACTCATGGCTCTGGAGCTCAGTGTCTGCTACAGAGAGAGATTCTTGCGTTGAAATTTCAAACTCTGTTTCGGACTAATGCTCGGACATACGATGTTTGAGTGGGTTGCGCTCGTTACGGGGTGAAAGTAGACCTATGGACCTAATGGCCCGTCGTAGCGGATGCGCAAATGGGCTCGGGTAACTTCCCTGAACCCCATCGCTCTTCCGTGGACGGGGCCAGTCGCAGCTGGTGACGGTGGCCGGATCGGTAACAGAGGCATTCTACGAGTGGTTCTTGGACCGACAAAAGAAGAAAAAATCTCATCTTTTTGTCTTTCGAGATGACCCAGTGGATGATGCTACAACCCCTCGATTGCCAAGATTACGCCTGATCATCGTGCCCTCATCTCATGTTGTCGGACAACATGTACTTTGTCGACTTTTGTCGTTCATCGATTCTGGGCACAAGTTATTGAAAGGATTTATCTTGCTGCTGAGTTCAAAATCTTGTCTATGAGTAGGAAGTGGAACCTCGTAGGTCGTCGTTTTTCCCATTACAATTTACAATTCTCTCTTTTTTAAGCTCTGTTTCTTTTTTATCACATCAATTTAAGCTCTCAAGAATTCAGTCATTAGCTACCTCAATCCACTTGAACCATGGAGAAAATGTCATTACAGTGAAAAATTAGCAAAGGAGAAGATATGAGCTACTCATTCTACACTAATGTACACAGCTTCAAGAAAATGACAAAGCCTCCTGCTCAGCAAGAAGCTTCCTGAATTTGCTTGGCTGGCCACGGGGTACCCCACGCACAACTTAGTCATGTGAGCCTCTCCTTCCACAGTCGTTGCACATGCAACACGAGAAAAAGATCCTGGCAGATCACATAAGTCTAGAAAAAAGAAGCTCTTGAGCTGATTCCCAAGTAACTCCGTCACCAACATAGTTCCTTCCAAACAACTACATTGCAAGTCATCGTACTCTGCTGCTGTCTGAAAAGATCTTCCTAGAGCGTGTCGAGAAGCAGGCATCAAGATTTAGTGGCCTATTTCTTCAGATTACACGCCAGATAAAAGCTCCTACGGTAGCGCTAGAAATGCAATCACATTCCAATTTAGACAGTGAAGAAAGAACTCAAGCTGCAAGTACTTGGAGGGCCACGGCATAGGCATCTGCTCACTCATTCTGCTGCTTCGTGAACTAACGCTGAAAAGTAGTGCTTCTTACAAGAGTTTCCACCACACCATCTCTTGGCAGTTTGCATTCCTGTTGACAATGAAGTCAAAGGAAAATTCCCTGTATTCCATCTGCCTCTTCGTTTGACATGCCCCAAATATGACATTCTACAAATGCTTTTGAAAATGAGGACTTTCATTCCATTTGTCAAATTGAATGCTTAGTACCTTGGTTCCAACATCCATATCTGAGCACTGTTATACTAGTGTTGCCATCAGTTACCATCCACGTGTGCATGCTCCATTGATATTTTTTATAGAGTGACTACTGTTGCTTCTCTGTTTAGATCAAGGCAGTATCGCTTTCTAACATACGTAGTACCTAAAGCAAAGGCAAAGGGGGCAATGAGCAGGTAGTAGAAGAGCTGAAAACCATCATTGCCTAAAGTTCGTACAAGTGAATATTTTGAAAGCAGACAGAGGCGCTATATGCCTAAAAGTCCTAAGGAAACATGCACAGAAACTTGAAAAAAGTTCATTTGAGCGTGCACGTGTCAAGAAATATGTATCACGTAATCAGGCACATGTGCATGCTCTTTTACAGTTACAATGGACATTCCATTAGTGCTTTGCTATCGCTGCCAAAGAGATTAGAGAAAATCAGTTCTAGCAGTAAATTCACAAACACTTTTGGAAACAAGTTGAGATGTACACAACCTGAGACATGCGAGGCCTTAATTGAGGATCCCGCCGGATACACAATGAAGCACACCGCAGCATTCGATGAACCTCCTGCTCTGAGTAGCAATTTTTCAAATTCGGGTCAATCAATTCACTGATTGAACGTCTTTCTAGTATTGGCCGTGCCTGCACCAAATCTGAACAATGAGAAAAATCGCCCGCATATATTTGAAGACGAAATCATTTCTTTGGAAGAACATTTCTAAACCATACCCATTCAGTGAGGCATTGCTGACCCTTGGGACGTTTTATATCCATTGCCTTTCGTCCCGTAACAAGCTCTACGAGTACCACACCGAATGAATATACATCAGCTTTTTCAGTGATTTGACCACTTTGAGCATATTCTGGAGCCAAGTACCTGAATAATGGCAGCTCATCCATGTTAGATTTTGATTATTGTGCGTGATGTGGAATGAAGCTTAAGAGAGAACACGAAAGTACCCGAATGTTCCTATCACTCTTGTTTCTACTCCCATGTCTCCATCCGGTTGCCATCTCGCAAGTCCAAAATCTCCAACCTAACATCCAGCGATGAGAATCACCTCTAAGATATCCGGCCAAAGCATTTGGAGATAATATTGAATGAATGTTATTAAGAAGATGAAGCCACAAGTGCTAATTGACTGAATTGGGCAGAGACAAACAAATTAATAACCATATGAAGGACTGTCAACTATATACAGGTCAGCATATCATACCAATGGTTCAAAATCATGCGTGAGAAGAATATTGTTAGGCCGCATATCACGGTGTACAATGCAACCCACTCTACATTCTTCATGAAGGTATCTCAATCCGCGAGCTGCTCCAACTGCAATTTTTTGTCGTGCACACCATGATAGAGGGTCCCGATCATGTCCTGAAAAAAAAAAGGTAAAAAACCTACTAAGTTAAGGACATGACTGTGGATCCAACATCAACTTCCACACTTCATATTTTACAAGCATGTTTTGTATTTGGTGAGTAGTCACCATTATCTCTGTTTTCTTCATCCTATTGGTTATGCTTGCAAATTTCAAATGACACATAAGTGACAGAAGAACATGTACCATAAAGATGTGAATCCAGAGAGCCGTTGCAAATATATTCATAAACCAGCAGTCTTCTTCCATCCTCAACACAGAACCCAATCAACGTCACGAGATTGCGATGCTGGGCACAGCTCAAAACCTCGACTTCTGCACAAAATTCTACATCACCCTGTGAACTTGCCGACTTGTGCTGTTTCACGGCAACGACCTGGCCATCGGGTAAAACCCCTCGATGGACAGAACCATATCCACCTTCAGCCAGAAAATTTGCTCGAGAAAATGCACCAGTAGCAAGTTCCAGCTCAGCGTAAGAGAACCACCTTGGGGGATTCCCAAAAACAGGTGCCTTATGTCGACACACTGAGCATAGCGGAGGAGGACTAGGAGGTGCATTTCTGGACAATGAAATTGCTTCCCTAACGCTTCTGCTTAAGTCCATGTCAAGCTTAAAATTGATTCCACTATCAGGGTCCCTCTCTAAATTAGAAATTTGATCCATCAAAGATTCATAGTTGCAAAAGAAAGCTTTATCGTTGGGCTTTGGTGATTCATCCTCCAAAGGCTTGACAGTATCTTCCATCCACGACATGGCAGGTGGACCCAGAATTTCACTGTCTACATCAGAGTCGGAATATTCAAAATTCGGTTTCACTTCAGTTTTACTTATGTACTCATTCTGTAGTTTTCTGTGAACTTCAGAGAGGAGAAATGGAGAGTTCCCTTGATCTGAACTTGATATAGATGAAGTTCCAATGTCAGTTGTGGTCACCGGTGACTCGTGGTCTGGACTACTTGCAGGAGTTACAAGAGGCCCTCTGATCATACTTTCATACTCAAGACTAGCACACACATGAGATACATCGATCTCGAGCAATGACGAAGGAGATATTTCTGGATCAAGCGCTGGTGATCCAATCAAATTCAGACGCAAGACCTTTGCTTTAGATCGGTCCATGACCACTAGATTGCACTGCAGTTCATCCATGCAGACCCGTTTCTCATGTTTCAGCCGCCTGTCATACAATTGCAATGGATCACTTTATCAGACAAGTCAATGGAAAATGGGTTTTAGAAGAGTGATAAGGAAAAAAAAATAGTTTTGCTACATCAACAGCTATGCATCAGTTCCTTAATTGACCACATGATAGGATATGTAACCATTACTTATCCAATATAACCCAGTTTGAATGTACTCTTTTGGCTTCAGCAGCAACCACTCCACATGGCGTGCTGGAAACAATTTTCAGCCGAACCTTGACCTGTCAAGAAGAGCAACGAGATGGAATAAATGGAATCCGAAAGGTTGAATAGACAAATACAAAGAGTGGGAGATAAATGTACCAACCTTATCTGGGTCATAGACATCGTGGAGTCCATACATCATTTGAGAGCATGAATTTGCAATGTCGTCCTTCTCATCCAAACTGATCTCTGAGATAGACCGGTGTTGACCGGTGGTGCAGTCACTTGCAAACTTCGAAAACATCCACATCTTTTTGCCTGAAACGGAAGTTAACACCGGCTACATCAATTGCAAAGATTACCTCAATTCCAATCATCGCGGTGCTACAGAACTAAAACGTCAAGCCAAAGAGTGAAAAAACAGAAAGAAGAAGATTAATCGAAGAGGAGTCCGCAACTGCAAAGTCAGTTTTTATTATAAAGTTCGGCCTTCGCAAGATAATGATTTGATTCTGCTCTTCCCCAAGCTCACCTTTGGTCGAAGAGAAACTTATAAGAGACCGCATCGTTGTGAAAAACCGAGAGATCTCTACAGACAATCAAACTTAATATGATGCTTCATGGCAGGTAAAGATAATGTTTCTGACGAAGATCAGGTTCTTACACTAGTTGCCCAACTCAGCAGCGAAGAAAACAGGGGAATACACAGCAAGCATACATGGAAACAGAAATCATGTAAAATCCCATGAACCAAATCACAGGTACACATCTATTCCGCCTACTCTGTGAGAAAAAAAATCCCCTCTTACTTCAACATAGGAGGAAACGAATTGAAACATATAAAAAGGAAGAACGAACGAGAAAAAAGAAGAAAAGGAATCTGAGTTTACTTGACGAGTGGGGAATAACCACAAGCAGCTTGATGCAATCCCCAGCTTGAGCAACATGAGTCAAAGTCCACACCAATGCAGCTCTTGGTATTTCCCTTGAGGCTTTCACAGCAACAACCACCACCTTCCCGTTCCCAACTCCATCTGAAGAGCCCTTCTCTTTCATACTCAACTCTCCAAAAGGATCTGAATTATTACTGCGCACAACAATTATTGTTGCGCATCAGCACTTATACCAAAAACCCATCTCAAGTCTTCTTTGGTCCAGCTTTTAAGCGACACCAAAAAGAGCGACTCATCACTGCAACAACACGGTGATGGACCCCAAGACGATGGCTTTTCTCAGCTAAACCCAAATGGAAAGCTGAAAGAGAGCAGAAAAAGCCTGAAGAGGACGTGCACTTCAAGACACTTTCCTTTTCATCTACGTGAATCTGATCACCTGTTGCTCTCCTTTATTTTCC